CTGACCAGTGTTCCCTCTAAGCTGAGTTAGTGTGAGCTAGCTCACAGTTTTTTAGCCTCCAGCTCACAGATTTTTGTCTCAGCTCAGGAAGGATGGCTCCAGAGCAAACTGATTGATGCAGTAGCCAAATTGCTCACCCACAACTTTAATGCCAGTAGCTCGCAAAGTAGAAGTTTTGCTCACAAGACTTCGCAGCTTAGAGGGAGCACTGCCTCTGACCCCCCTCCCCTTTCTCTCACTGGGTCTTCTCATGTCCTGTACCTGTCTCTGCAGGTCTCTCCTACAGAGACGATATCCTCATACTCCCACGCTCATAATGCCGGACAAGCTGGCCATCTGTGGCAGAGAAAGTACACTTTAGATTACGCTTCTTTCTCTCCTTTCGACTGCAGCCTGAATGTGAACTTGATGTACTTGAATAAATGTAACTTTACCTTTTTTGCAATATACGTCTAGGGAGATATATAATTGCTTGGAGTGAGCAACTCGGCATGCCTGGACATTGGGGCTATATTGGGGCTATATCACTCTAAGACTGTACAGGTATAATCTCCTTGAATGGGATGCCTCTCTTTGTCTTAACCTGGAAGTTGCCCTCTCTGACCAGTGTTCCCTCTAAGCTGAGTTAGTGTGAGCTAGCTCACAGTTTTTTAGCCTCCAGCTCACAGATTTTTGTCTGAGCTCAGGAAGGATGGCTCCAGAGCAAACTGATTGATGCAGTAGCCAAATTGCTCACCCACAACTTTAATGCCAGTAGCTCGCAAAGTAGAGGTTTTTCCACAAGACTTCGCAGCTTAGAGGGAGCATTGCCTCTGACCCCCCTCCTCTTTCTCTTGCTGGGTCCTCTCATGTCCTGTACCTGGTCTTCCATGAAGACACCTGTCTCTGTCGGTCTCTCCTATAGAGACGATATCCTCATACTCCCACGCTCATAATGCCGGACAAGCTGGCCATCTGTGGCAGAGAAAGTACACTTTAGATTACGCTTCTTTCTCTCCTTTCGACTGCAGCCTGAATGTGAACTTGATGTACTTGAATAAATGTAACTTTACCTTTTTTGCAATATACGTCTAGGGAGATATATTTACTACACCCAGTAGCATACTTTTATGACTGGGCAAACTCTGCTATATTAACCCAATGTCCCAATAATTAGATCTTATACAAGCTGCATATGTTCTTTGAAACTAAATACGCGACTAGATTTATCGACTAGGATTTAGTTGCCAGCCCTAGTTCAAGCCAGTACTTGGGCCGTGCTGTATTCAGCACATTCTCACATATTGTTTTCAGAGGATTCATACATTGTGGGTGTGCTTGGTCAGCCTCCCATCTTCCCCCAGCCAGCTAATGTGTCCAGTGTATTTTCTGGTAACATCCTCTAGTGATGTAGCCAATGTATTTTCTAGTAACTTCTCAAATTCATGTTCTTTTCCCTCATTTGACATAGCAATATATGCTGCATTCATGTATTGATTTGTTTGCTGCAATAACAAAAGGTAGAGTTTTTAAAAATAAATTACGCAAGTCATCTTAAAACATTGTATTTTACCTATGTTGCTCAAGCATCCCTGTGCCGATTGGTCCAAGCGGCACCATTGAAATGGGTTTCTGGTGTTCTCCAGACATTATAAATAGCGGAAGCTGTGGATATGGTACTTTCTAATGACCATCTTTGTTTAAAAAGGGCACTGAGCTTTCCAAATGCAGTGCCTGACTATGGATGGGAGAGGAAAGGAGTTTAGAAGGAAACCCATGGAAGTTTACAAATATGGGGCGGGTGCTCATCGAAGCTCAGAGATCATTGTAAAATAAACCAGAGAATTCTGTTGAAAATGAGATGTAAAGTTTAATCATAGTTTTGTGGGTTGCAGATTTTTTCTGGCTTGTTGGTCAATCTCACCAGTATTCTGCCTTGGCTCGCCTGGCTCCAGTACTTTAGCATTCCTCGCTACGGAATGGCGGTAAGGGCTACAGTCTCTTGTGTACGCACCTTTGTCTATTTGCATCGGCTTCTATCTTTTCTGTGCATAGCCTGGTTTTGCTGCTTTTGTGACTAGCACAAGCCACCCACTTCTGCATCAGGTGCAGGATAAATGATTTATATATTTTTTCTAATCACTCAAGATGCCTCCATAGGCATTATTTACACCCTCTATAACCTAGAGCAGGGGCCCCCAACCTGGTGCCTAGGGGCACCACGGTACCTGTTGATAGCTTCCTGGCATCCACCAAGAATTTATAGAATGTGGGTGGGGCCAGGCGGAACTTTCTACCTAGCAAGGCTTCTGATTGGCCATTGCAGACTTGATTGGCTGTGCAGATTTTTTTTTAAAATTGCTTTGGCAGCAGCGCCACCACAGCACAAGGATCTTCACTGTGTGACTGAAGGTAAGTGGTGTCAGCCATTTTATTTTACCTAAAACATTTTAATACCCCCTTTCTATCCATTCAGGGACCACAAGATGGTGAATACAAAAACATTAAAAAACACATTTGAGTGATTCAAAATGCAGTTATAATTATAAAGTAATTAAATTAAGAATGCAGAACAAGCAACACTGGAAGGAGGGCCAGTAAGCGTTACTAGAGGTATGCCAGACGAAACAAAAAAGTCTTCCCCTGCTGATGAAAGATACCAATAGAGGGAGAGGAAAGATAGATCAATCTCCCTGGGGAGGGAGTTCCAAAGTTTTGGGGCCACCACAACTGAGAAGGCCTTTTCTTGGATCGCCACCCATCTAGTTTCTGAAGGCGGGGGCAACTGAAACAGGGCCTCCAACGATGACCAGAGTGAGCGGGTAGGTTCATATGGGAGGAGGCAGTCCTTAAGGTATGTTGTGGCTGGCTCCGCCTTATGCAGCAGATGTTTTGTGGCAGTCATTCTGTGGCTGTGCCCACCATGCTGTGTCAGAATTCCAAAGGTGCCCCAGGCTCAAAAAGGTTGGGGACCCCTGACCTAGAGGCAGGCCTGTATTATTGTCCTGGTGTCACAGTAGGGCACCAATGATGCAGTTGCAGGTTGTGAAATTCCTAAAGACACTGGGTGATTTCCCACAAGTGCTGCTCCGCACTCACTCCTCTCTTTGGCCCGATGGTACGTGTCAATTTCACACAAGCTGCTGCGCAGCTGCATTTTGGCTTGCAGCTTTGTGCGATTTCTCCCGCGTCTACTCAGTCCTCAAAAAACAGGATTGAGTAGACGCGGGGAAAATCGCACGAAGCTGCAAGCCAAAATGCAGCTGCGCAGCAGCTTGTGTGAAATTGACACGTACCATCGGGCCAAAGAGAAGAGTGAGCGTGGAGCAGCGCTTGTGGGAAATCACCCTGTGAGTAGGATCTGGGGTAGGCAGGCTTTGGGGAGAGGA